AGACAGATGAATTCTCGTGCTCACTTTTCTATCTCTTATTTGTTTTGTTTTTTCGAGACAGGGTTTCTCTGTGTAGCCCTGGCTGTCCTGGAACTCACTCTGTAGACCAGGCTGGCCTCGAACTCAGAAATCCGCCTGCCTCTGCCTCCCAAGTGCTGGGATTAAAGGCATGCACCACCACCGCCTGTCCTATCTCTTATTTTTAAAATTTAATAATTATTACTATTTTTTAGACACAGTCTATTATGTAGCTTGGAAGTCACTATGTCGAGCACCTCAGACTCACAGATATCCATCTGCCTTTATTAGGTTAAAGAGCACACCAACAGGCTACATTGTCTTTCTTGTTCCATCTGGGACTTGTCCCGTGGGATGATATCGGCTACACTTGGGGTAGGTCTGTCCACCTCAGTTTACCTAATCGATATAATCTCTCACGACTTGCCCAGACATTTGAGTCCTAGGGGGTTCTAGTTCTGGTCAAGTTGAAACCACTATTAACCAGCACAGCTAGAAGTACAGGTTTTTGCAGGAGTTTTATGTTACGGGTTCCAGGTGAGAGGCAGAGCTCAGGTCATGAACTAAGTGGTGACTGTGGTTGTCACAGGAATGAGTGGAGAAAGTAAAGCTGACACAGGCCCGGAGCTGGGATCTGGTGCACAGTGCAGTCCAGTGGCTTAATGTATACTCCTCTACCCTAAGTGGTGAGGCTGCCAAGCATACATTCTCTGCATGTGACCTTCCTGCAGTTTGCTCAAGTGACATACTGTCCTATCAAGCACGATCATCTTCAGTGAAGCCTCACAGATACATTTCTACCAATTGCCTTCTTGGGAGTAGGCGGTTGTTTGTTGCAAGCTATGGTGCTTTTAGGACATCAATGACACCTAAGACATGGTCCATCAGGCCATAAGCACAGTGTGGAGAAAGGGAAGGCATTTAGAAGGGACCACCTAAGGTAGGAGGCCCTGTCCAAGGTGCTGGAAGGGTGGGCAGGAGCTAGCCACATTGGGAGATTGGTTGAGGTCCCTTGGCAGGTCCAGAGCTCCAGTTTTCAATGGAAACCGGGCTGGTTTAAGGTAGTCGAAGGTCAGAGAAGAAGCATGTGAGCCCAGGGGAGACTTCACACAGAGGATGTCAAGTTTACAGGAGCCTGGGGTAGTGGGAGGAGTGACGAGTTTGAGGCTAACCTGGACTACAGGAGACTCTGAACAGCAGGGCTGGGGCAGGGTGTGTGTGTGTGTGTCTCACTCTGCAGTTAGTCTGCTATTTGCCAGCTCTGTGACCTTAGCATTCCTTTTTTTCCTTTGGAAGTAGCCTTTCAAGTAGCCTAGGCTAACTCTAGACTCACACATGTAGCCAAAGATAATCCTGACTCCTGAGTCTCCTAGCTCTATTTTCCAAATTCTGGGATTACAGGTATGTGCCACCCCTTCCAGCTTTGGGACAATGTATAACATTTTGAAGCATAGTTGGTTCATCTCTGGACCCTAGATACTGTTCTAAGGGTCGTGTGAAACCATGTGGGTCACATGACAGATGTCGATCCTTTCTTCCTTATAGTATTTTTGTTAACAAACCACATATCATATCATATCATATCATATCGCTGAATTCTTCCAAAAAATAGAGTAGGGGAACTGAATGGGTAAGAATACTGACTCATCTTGTAGAGGATCCAGGTTCAATTCCCGGCACCCACATAGTGGAGCGCAGCCATCTTTGAGTCCAGGTCCAGGAAATCCAAAGCCTTCTTCTGGCCTCCATGGGCACCATAGTGAACACACATACATGTGATACACACACATACATGTGGTACACACACATACATGCAGACCAACGTGAACTCAGAGATGCAGCTGCCCCTGCCTCCCAAGTGTTAGGATTAAAGGCATTCACCACCACCACCTGGCCAGTTTGTTTCTTCGTAAGAATGACTACTATTGCCGGGCAGTGGTGGTGCATGCCTTTGATCCCAGCACTTGGGAGGCAGAGGCAGGCAGATTTCTGAGTTTGAGGCCAGCCTGGTCTACAGAGTGAGTTCCAGGACAGCCAGGGCTACACAGAGAAACTCTGTCTCGAAAAACCAAAAAAAAAAAAAGAATGACTACTATCAAAAATTTATTTAAGCCCATAAATGTGTCAAACACATAGAATAAAATAAAATAAATCTAGACTGCACTTGGGAGACAGAGGCAGGCTGATCTCTGTGAGTTTGAGGCCAGCCTGGTCCATAGGGTTACAGGACAGCCAAGTCTATATATACAAAGAGACCCTGTCTCATTAAATAAAAATAAATAAATAAATGAATAAATTAATGGATAAATAAATAAATAAAACTAAATAATGCTATTAAAAAAAACTAATTGTAGCTGGGCGGTGGTGGCACACGCCTTTAATCCCAGCACTTGGGAGGCAGAAGCAGGCGGATTTCTGAGTTCTAGAGTTTGAGGCTAGCCTGGTCTACAGAGTGAGTTCCAGGACAGCCAGGGCTACACAGAGAAACTCTGCCTTGAAAAACCAAAACCAAAAACAAAAAAAAAAAAAAAAAAAAAAACAAACCCTAATTGTAGAAAAAGAGTAGGCCTTGACAGGAGACCAGAGTCCTGTAGTTCCTGTTCTGAGTTCCCCTTACATCAATTTAGCAAGACTGCTTCTGCTCTTTAGAGGAAGCCAAAGTACTTGTGCAACTGAATTCTATAAATGAACACAGGGTTAGAGAAATATGATATTTTGGGGCCGAGAATGAGCCAACTCTCCACTGTACACTTGGAACTAGGTGGTTGACAAAGTAGTAATCATGGCTCAGTGACTGGAGGTAATTGCCACCAAATCTGAAGATCTGAGTTTGTCCCATGGGACCCACATGGTGGGAACAATCAGCTCCCATAAACTGTCTTCTGACTTCTACATGCATACCGTTTATATGGCTTTTATATGCATATAAGTGGGTGTCATGGCTATTTCTGGTTCTCAACTTGACTATATCTGGAATGAACTACAATCCAGAATTGGGCACACTTGTGATTCAGAATACTTACCCATCTTCTAGAGGACCCAGGTTGAGGCTGGAAGACACAGTTTCTGACCTAGATCTTGGCAGGAAGATCCTGTGGCATAGTGGCCATGAAAAGCTTAGGCCTGCTCTTTCTGAGCTGATAGCACTCCTGCCAACATGGTGAACATTCTTAAGACCCGCCGGACATTCTGCAAGAAATGTGGGAAGTACCAGCCCCACAAGGTGACCCGGTACAAGAAGGACAAGGGTTCTTTGTATGCCCAGGGAAAGCGGCGTTATGACAGGAAACAGAGTGTCTATGGTGGGCAGACTAAGCCTATTTTCTGCAAAAAGGCTAAAACTACAAAGAAGATCGTGCTGCGACTGGAGTGCGTCGAGCCCAACTGCAGATCTCAGAGGATGCTGGCTAGTAAGAGGTGCAAGCGTTTTGAACTGGGAGGCGACAAGAAGAGAAAGGGCCAAGCGATCCAGTTCTAAGCCGATTTTGTTATGAAGACAGTAAAATCTTGACCTTTCACCCCCTTTGATTGTCTTTGGGGAGGGAATAAATTAAAGCTTTCAGAAATTGAAAAAAAAAAAGAAAAGAAAAGCTTAGGCCCAGGCCAGGTAGTACACACCTTTAATCTCAGGAGACTGAGTCGAGGAGATCTCTGAGTTCAAGGTCAGCCTGGGACAAAGCAAGTTCCAGATCCAGGTGGTATATACCTTTAATTTGGTCCACTCCTTCTGCTGGAGGCCTACATAAGGACATTGGAAGAAGGAAGATTCACTCTTCTTGTACTGCTTGCATTTCCTTGCCAGCACATCTGTTGGAACCTACTTCTACAGAAGACCAGCTGAAACAACCTCATGGGACTGAGCAACTACTAGATTCTTGGACTTCCCATCCACAGCTGCCCATTGTTGGATTAGTCAGATTGCAGACTGTAAGTCATCACAAAAAATTACCTTAATATATAGAGACGTTCCATAAGTTCGGTGACTCTAGAGAACCCTGACTATTACGGTGGGTATATGAATACACACTAGATGCATTTTTATTAGTACTCATTCTTAAGAATAAACAAACTGGCCAAGTGGTGAAGGCCTTTAATCCCAGAGGCAGGTGGATCTCTGAGTTCAAGGCTAGCCTGGTCTACAGAGTGAGTTCTAAGATAGCGAGGGCTAGGGGGCTGGAGAGATGGCTCAGTGGTTAAGACTACATTTCCAAAGGTCCTGAGTTCAAATCCCAGCAACCACATGGTGGCTCACAACCATCTGTAATGAAATCTGATGCCCTCTTCTGGTGTGTCTGAAGACAGCTACAGTGTACTCATATAATAAATAAATAAATCTTAAAAAAAAAAAGATAGCGAGGGCTACATAGAGAGAGAAATCATGTCTCAAAAATATCAAAATAAATAAATAAATAAGCAAAAAAAGAAATAAGAGTAAACGAACTGACAGCTGTGCTCCACACATCTGTAGGCCCAGCATTGGAAAAAGGAGGATCAGGAGTTTAAGACTAGCCTCAGCTACATAGCAAGTTCAAGATAAAAAATAATAAATGGACCATGATGACTGTGCATCGCCCCGCCCTCTGATTTCTTGGTACTTGGCTTTTGCCACACTGCTCGGGGATGGTCAGGCTAGCTGTTTGCCTGGTCTGCAGCTGTGCGTGTGGTTCCTCAGGTCATTCACCTTGAGGCTAATGAGCTGCAGTGAGGGGTTGGACAGTGGTTGGTATGGTTGGGTGTTGTTTCAGGACCCTCTGGGATGGTATTAAGAGATGGGTACAAAGAACTGCCTGGAAAACACCAGTGTCTGTCTTACAGAGTTTTAATCGTGCCATGAGGAATCCAGCCATGAAGTGTTGGGCTGCTCTGTGATGCCCATGGGGAAGGGAGGCACAAGGGTATGACTTTAAGAACCTCAAGTCCTGATAAGGGAACTCCCACAAGTTGAGTTGCTAGGATCAGGTACACAGTGTGCTGGTGAACACAGGTGACAGCCATGATGGTCTTTCCTAGAGAACTTAGGTCAGTGTCATAGAAAAAGGAAGCCAGTAGTGACCTATGAATACTGTTTTCTTACAGAAGATGAGAGCTGTCCTTCCTGTCGGCTGTCACTGTTGATCTCTGGGGTGTTACTGGGGCTACTGGTAATATTCCTAGTTCTGGCGTTTTTGATTCATCTAAAATACAAAAAAGGTAGGTTCTCCTGGTATGCTCCTGTGCTGTTCAGACTCAGCAGGGCAGAGTGGGAGGTGAAGTTTGGTTGTGGCACACACCTTTGATCCCAGCACTCAGAGGCAGAGACAGATGGATCTCTGAGTTAGAGGTCAGCTTGGTCTACAGAGCAAGTTCCAGGACAGTTAGGGTACACAGAGAAACTCTGTCTCAAAAAATTATACAAAGACAGAGAGAGAGAGGAGAGAGGGAGGAAGAGGGAGAGAGAGAGAGAGAGAGAGAGAGAGAGAGAGAGAGAGAGAGAGAG